CCTGAACCTTCATACACACTTTGTGCAGCAGTAGTCCCTGAGCAATCTCAGGTCTCGGGCGGTTCATCAAGCATTGGGCTTCGGCGTTGGGGCCTCAGTTTGATCGAAAGGGAAAGTTGGGAAAGCCATGAATGTGAACACCATGCGATTTGCACGTGAGTTCCTTCATATGAGCTATAATCTAAANNTTTAGACTATAGCTCATATTGGGCGCCGGGATTCCTTTGTCCGAACTCTGCGAGATGGGCCGGAATCCACACAAACATTCTCCCACCACGTACCTTGCACAGCTCTAAGACACTTGGTAGTTTCCCTAAATAAGGGGACCCCTATATAGACCCCAATATATTATAGTCCTTATTAGGGGGACCCCCAATTCGGTACCTCTAATTTTAGGAAACCCCCACTTCTCCCAAACCTGTCTTTACATTTCATGTTCAAAGATGTCCCCCTCTTCGTTCGTTTGAAGAAGAGTATGGCAAGGCTAAGGCGTATAAGAGGACTCTGGTTTGAGTATCCTATGCTTAGCACATGTACTATAGTCTAAACTCCTTTAAGGGGGTTATATAGGGGATTATGTGGGGGACTACTATAGGGGGCACTAAGGGGGATACTAGGAGTTTAGACTATAGCTCACATGACTCATACAGGGTTCTAAGTACAGGGGCAGGGCCCCAGGGACCGCCAACATCCCACATAATCCCAGTGTTTGTAATGTCAATGTCATTTTCCGATCCTCTATTACTTATGGGGATTGGGATTACCAAGCTCCGCGTTCTGCCCATAATGATCTTTATACACTCCCCCATACGTAGTCCTTACATAATCCCTACAGTGTCCATCGTCATTTCCATCAGCCTTATATAACCTCAATATACTATAGTAGCTTCCATTTTATCTTCCATTATCCCTATCTAACCCCAACATACAAAAGTGCCTAACCCTAAACCCTAAACCCTAAGAGCACAGGCGTCGCATCAACAATCGCTCTGAGGGGACATTGAGCACTTACACCCTCATCCTGCGGCATTGGCTGCATCCTATACAACACATTGCCTTTAAAGGGGCGTTTCTAGGAGTTACATAGGAGTTACATAGGAGTTACATAGGGGTTACATAGGGTTATATAGGGTTTAGGGTTTAGGGGTTCCCGAAGTTGGGGGTAGCTTTTTGGAGGCCCCCGTTGTCAGGACTTTAGTATTTTGGAGTCTTTCTTGAGGTTCCCTATTCAGGGAAACTTTCCATACACGGCTTAGCTTTTTTTTTGTCTAGGTGATGTCGTATATAATTGTACGTAGATTTGCTTAATGTATATCATGCCTGTATGCGTACGTATATGCTCATGTTCATGTGCATATGTTATTCGCCGTGGTCAGCTGCTACAGAAGCGCTTAGATGGCTTGAGGTTTAGCATGTATTGCTGACACCCCTGTACCATCTTTTGAGAAGCCCGGTATCTGACCATTTTTCCGGACCAGTGCTTCTGAACTCTGTTTGCAGACTCCGACTGCGCCACAAAACCCTTGACAAGCCCCAACATCCTTGCAGAAAGGTTTCGATGTCCTACCCTGTCAGCGGCAGAAGTTGTGGCATGAGTTCTTGGTGCTGCTGGATTAGCATGGATGAAAATGCATGTGGCAGGGTATTACAAGTAGCCTATGTTCTACCTTGTTTATGCTTCGTCTTTACCGTCTTCCTAGTAGAAGGCTGATACGTCTTTACCATAGGTACTGCCTTGCGTTACTTCTTGAGACATATTTTCTTGGTCTCCGCATACAGGGCAGACCAAACCTATGCCCCAAAACTTGCTCATGCTTAGTTGGGATTGGGGGAGTGAATCCCGACCTAGCTTTAAGGTTTAGGGTTTAGGATCCCCATTACAAGCGCCCACAAAAGTCCTTGTAGCGTAGCCCTAGCCCTTCACCCATTCCCGAGTAGCTAGAAAGCATGATCCAAGACCACCCATCTTGAACCTTCAACGCGAGACCCTAACTCCCCAAACCCGAAAACCTTAAATCCTAAACCCCAGGAATGTTGGGTAGATATCGTAGAGGCCTAAAGGCCTAAAAGACTTGAGGGTTTAGGGTCTCAGGGCTTTGCCAGTCTTTATGGTCCCGACTCCTTGTATATAATTTCAGGACAATCCCTGTACATGTCAATTTCATCTTCCAATTGATTCTCCGTGGTAATTGGGGTACTATTGGCACCACGTTTTGTAATTACCCTGGCCCCTGTAGTATATCTCACGCCATTTGATGTTCACTGTTGGTAGTCATGATAGGTACCTCAACTAGAACCCCATCAAGAATCAAAAGTAATATCACAATCCCAAAACCCAAAGCCCTTGAAAAAATGTACTTCTGATTTTGGAAATTCCCCCATGTCGGTGCAACTGTCTTATACCTCACGCTGCCCAGGCAGCTCTTCTACGCCCTTCAGGTCGGATGCTTGCCGTCCCAGGGGCTTAGGGTTTAGGCCCGAATAAGGGACATTGGGACTCTTAAGGCCTTTGGAGGTTATTAAGGTTTCTTGAAGGCTTAAGTAGTTTGGGGTTGAAGTGTGGGGTCAACTGTTGGGACCAAGTGGCTCGACGGCTTGGCTTTAAGGAGTGTGGTTGTGCAAGGGGCTTCAGGGCAAGCTTAGAACATTAAAGGAAGAACAGGGGGTGTCTCCAAATTTAGGTCCGTCTTTGGGCCTTTCGAGGAAACATTAGATTTCTGTTGTTGCCACGGGTCTCAGCAACGCCAACAATTCTACAACGATATCTGGCTTGCTGCTTGGGGAATTTTACAGACATATGCTACCAAACGCTAAACGCTGTATGTTACATGAGCCGTATTTTAAACCTCTGCAAAGATGAAGTTACCAGTAATTAAGGGGCATCAGCAGGTGGCTAATCCGTCACTCCTGCACATATGTCTAAACCCTTAGGCAAAAGAAGATCCCTTGGCAGCTCAACCCCTTTCACAGGGCGTAGGAAAGCCATAGAGGGGCCAACAGTGAACGACTTTACCGCTGCTTTTTAGCATCCACAAGTCCTTGATGGATCTGCTTGCGGCCCCCTGGGAAGGTCAGGGACCCGCCTGTACTTCCGCGTGTGACGGACATGTTGGCACTGGAATCACGTGAGCCCCTTGTCCCTTCAGAGATGGTCTTTCCTGATTTATCCCTTTTTGGGGCCTTTACGAAAGGGAGCTTCCTGATTGAGCTGATTGAAGGAGGCCATCTTCGAGGAGCTTCAATGGAATTGCTTAAGCTTGCGGCAGGATCCGGGATTTCCAGTTTGGTCGCTGCTATCTTCCGTAAAAGGGGTGGGGTTTCCATATACCAACCCTCGACATTCTCACATTCTCAATTCCATCTTGTTCCGCAGCATGTGAAAGAAGCGAAAACATTTCTCCAGCAGCAGCAGCAGCAGCAGAAGCAGCAGCAGCAGAAG